TTTGCCTTTAAACGGTCAATTTACCGATTTACAACTTGTAACGATTCATTAACTCAAGCCTACCACAAACATTTATAACAACAAATAATGATCATATATGGTTCCAAACGCCATTATACGACCCCGAATATATTCCTTATAATTTCAAAAAATTTCGACATTGGCCCCGAAACCTCCAAAATTTCTTTAAAAGTGTGGATAATTAGCCTTCAATTCTGGAATTTTTTGACTTTTTTTTGCCCAGAAATAAAATTTGCCGAAATGTTTACCATGGTCCCTAATATTCTCTGGGAGACCAATTGGGTGGGTGGAACCATCCTATTTGCCTTTAAACAGCCAATTTACCAGTTTACAACTTGCTCCGATTTAATTAACTCAAGCCTACTACGAACATTTATGACAACATATAATGATCATATATGGTTCCAAACGGAATTATATGACCCCGAGATGTATATCCTAATATCTCAAAAAAAAATTCAACACCGGGCGTCGAAACATCCTAAATTTCTCAAAAAGCGTGGATTTCAATTTTGAAATTTTTTTACTTTATTTTGCTCGGTTATAAAAATTGCCGAAATGTTCACCATGACCATAATATCCTCCGGGAGTTCAGTTGGGTGGGTGGAACCATCCAATTTGCATTTAACTGACCAATTTACCAGTTTACAACTTGCACCGATTTCATTAACTCAAGCCCACCACGAACATTTATAACAACAAATAATGATCATATATGGTTCCAAACGACATTATATGACCCCAGATATATCCCCTAGAATTTCAAAAAAATTCGACACGGGCCCCGAAAACTCCAAAATTTCTTAAAAAGTGTGGAATTTTTGGAATTTTTTGACCTACTATTTTGGAATTTTTAGACCTTTTTTTGCCCAGAAATAAAAATTGCCGAAATTTTTACCATGGTCCCTAATACCCTCTGATAGTCCAATTGTTTGGGTGGAAGTGTGGAACCATCCAATTCGCCTTTAAACAGCCAATTTACCTATTTACAACTTGCACCGATTTAATTAATTCAAGCCTACAACGAACATTTATGACAACATATAAAGATCATATATGGTTCCAAACGGCATTATATGACTCCGAAATGTATCCCCTAAAACCTCAAGCATTTTCGACACCGGGCCCCGAAACCTCAAAAATTTCTCAAAAAGCGTGGATATAGCCTTCAATTTTGGAATTTTTTGACTTTTTTTTGCACGGAAATAAAAATAGCTAAAATGTTTACCATGGTCCCTAATACCCCTCGGGAGTCTAATTGGGTAGGTGTTACCATCCAATTGCCTTTAAACGGCCAATTTAATTACCGGTTTACAACTTGCACCGATTTCATTAATTCAAGCCTACCACGAACATTTATGACAATAAATAATGATCATATATGGTTCCAAACAACATTATATGACCCCGAGATGTATCCCCTAAAATTTCAAGACTTTTCGACACCGGGCTCCGAAACCTGCAAAATTTCTCAAAAAACGTTGATATTAGTCTTCAATTTTGGAATTTTTCATTTTTGACTTTTTTCGCCCGAAAAATAAAAACTGCCGAAATGTTTACCATGGTCCCTAATATCCCCCGAGAGTCCAATTGGGTAGGTGGAACCATCCAATTTGCCTTTAAAAGGCCAATTTAATTACCGGTTTACAACTTGCACGGATTTCATTAACTCAAGCCTACTACGAACATTTGTGACAACATATAATGATCATATAAGGTTCCAACCGGAATTATATGAGCCCGAGATGTATTCCCTAAAATATTAATACTTTTCTACACCGGACCCCGAAACCTCCAAAATTTCTCAAAAAACGTGGATATTAACTTTCAATTTTGAGATTTTTTTAATTTGTTTTTTCGCCTGGAAATAAAAATTTCCAAAATGTTTTATATGGTCCCTAATACTCTCCCGGAGTCCAATTGAGTGGGTGAAACAATCCAATTTGCCTTTAAAAGGCCAATTTATCGGTTTACAACTTGCACCAATTTCATTAATTCAAGTCTACCACAAACATTTATGACAACAAATAATGATCATATATAGTTCCAAACATTATCATATGACCCCAAGATGTATTCCCTAAAATTTCAAGACTTTTCGACACCGACCCCGAAACCCTCAAAATTTATCAAAAAGCGTGGATATTAGTCTTCAATTTTGAAATTTTTTAACTTTTTTCGCCCGAAAATTTAAATTGTTGAAATGTTCACCATGGTCCCTAATACCCTTTGAAAGTCTAATTGTATTACCGGTTTACAATTTGCACAGATTTTATTAACTCAAGCCTACTACGAACATTTATGACAACATATAATGATCATATATGGTTCCAAACGACAATATATGACCTCGAGATGTATCCCCTAAAATATTAATACTTTTCTACACCGGTCTTTGAAACCTCCAAAATTTCTCAAAAAGCGTGGATATTAGCCTTCAATTTTGATATTTTTTGATTTTTTTTCGCCGGAAATATGAATTGCCGAAATTTTAACCATGGTCCCTAATACTCTTCGGGAGTCCAATTGAATGGGTGGAACCATTCAATTTGCCTTTAAACGACGACCAATTTACCGGTTTACAACTTGCACCGATTTCATTAATTCAATCCTACCACAAACATTTATGACAACAAATAATGATCATATATGGTTCCAAACGACATTATATGACCCCGAGATGTATCCCATAGAATTTCAAGACTTTTCGACACCAGACCCTGAAACCTTTAAATTTTAGATTTTTTTGACTTTTTTTCGCTCGGAAATAAAAATTGCTTAAATGTTTACCAAGGTCCCTAACACCCTCCGGGAGTCCAATTGGGTTTGTGGAACCATTCAATTTGCTTTTAAAATACCAATTTACGGTTTACAATCTGCACCGATATGATTTACCGGTTTACAACGGCCAATTTAATTAACTTGAACCGAAATTGACCCAAACCCGTTTTAACCCGTCAAAACCCGAATTTAACCCTACTTGTTACCATCCTGACCTGAATTCAACCCGACTCGTTCCTAACCCAACCTGTTACAAACCCGACCCGAAATCAACCCGACTTGTTATTGACCTGACCCAAATTTAACCTGACTTGATATTGACCCGACCTGAATTTTACCACACCTAGCTATTATTTACCCAACCAAAAAATTCAACCCGATATATTACTAACCCGACTCGAAATTAACACGACTTGTTATTGTCCAAACCTAAATTCAACCTAAATTGTTCCTGACCCGATTTCAAATCACCTTAAATGCAATTTAAACCACCTTATTATTGCTGATCAAAGCATTTTGTCTTGGGAGACCAAGTCAGTCCAGGCCAGCAAAAGAAAGGAGCATCATCCTGAAATTTAAGAGTTAAATATAGTATATATTTGTTGTATGGTCAAATGAGATAATTATATTCCTAAATTATATATTATAGTACTACCTCCGTTTTCTTTACTTATAACACTTGCCAAAAAGGAAACGTCACAATACTTGCAACACACTATAAAAGGAAAGTTACTTTAGGGAAAAACTATACTATATCCCTTATTTAAAGCATATGGCCCACTAAATTACACTCCTAACAACCACTCATCCTATTTTAAAGTTTATTATATCATGTAAACCCCACCTTTCTTAATTACCGCGCTAAAGGGTGTGTTGCATCTAAAAGAAAACGGAGGAAGTATATTATAGTCAAAGGAAATAATTAGCTTGATAAAAATGACAATTATCTATTTATACTTAATTGAGCCTGAATATGACTTCACTTGGAAATGACCCGACCTGGTTGTAACCTGCAAATTATTGACTTGAACATAACCCGCCTTGAATCCGAGAATGACCCGACTTGGAAATGACCCATCCTGATTTTAACTCGCAAAGTATTGACTTGAACCGAACCCGACTTGAACCCGAGAATGACCCGACTTGAAAATGACCCGACCTGATTATAAAGGGCAAATTATTGGTTTGAACTGAACCCGACTCAAATCCGAGAATGACCCGACTTCATTCTTACCCACAAATTATTGACTTGAACCGAACCCAACTCGAACCCGAGAGTTACCCTAACCCGTTTTAACCCGTGAAAACCCGAATTAAACCCGACCTATTGTTCACCCGACTCTAATGTAACCCGACCTGTTATTAACCCGACCCAAACCCGATAAGAAGTATGACCCTACGGGACTTGACTCAAACATGACCCAACCCAAACCCGACTCGCATAGGTTATGAAATTAATCTGAAGTGACCCGACCCACTTATACCCGACCTGTTTACCCGAATTGACAACTCTAATGATGAGGCCACTAATTTGAAATTGCTTCTATTACTAGCCAAATTGCATACAAGACTCTGATCCAACCCATGAAACCGTCTAAAACCGATCCAAGGATCCAAATTGATTGCTGATATCTACGATTTCCACATTATACTCTGTATAAGTCATCTTAGCAGCATATGAGGCCATAGAAAATAATACAAACAGATTGCAAAGACATGATTTGATTGGTAAGTTCAACTCTGTTCTTATTTTTTTTGGAGGCAGGGTTTGTGAATTATTAGACAGATATTTGTTAGAATTATTACCACCATGCATTATTTACATGTTGCAATTATGTGGCCCTCGAACAGACATTCTATACTATACAAATTTTCAATAATTATACAGGCGGCTAAATATTAGATTTGCCAGGGATCCAATGTCATTAGAACCCCCAAACAGTATTCCCTCGATTTCTAAATAATAAACCGTGATAAATAAGAGTCACTTTTATGAATTAACTTTTTACGCGTTCTCTCAATAAAAAAGACAACGATTACATAGTAAAAGACAATAATGATAAATTAAAGTTCAAACAAATAAATCGGAAAGTGATTTAATTATGCTTAGATGACCTATAATAGAATTATGACCTACTTTATACGCAGTAACAAACGGAATAACTAGTAATCAAAATCTAAAATCACCAACACCAATATTAAGATAAATACTATTATTAAAACTCTATTCGCATATAAATATATATATAATTTACTCTTATTAATATAGTAAACAAAAATTAGAAAATAAAAAACATAATTAAAGTTTAATTTGGGGAAGAAAAAGGCTTGCTAATTTCCACACAAAGCCTTGTTCTTGCTAGAAGGTCTAAAGTTCAAAGCACTTAACCCATAAATGCAGATATGCTGTTGGCTAGACTTAAAATACACAACATCAGTAGTAGTCTGATGTCCAGGCACATTACATTTTGAAGTATAACTCCCTATTAAACTCGCCCTGCATATCGTTTCGACGGCTGCTCCTTGTGCACATTCGATCCCATCTACTGAAGGTATTTCGAGTTTGTACCACCCGTATTCGTTTGTCGTTCGATTCACTGAGAATGTTATTTCTTCATATGTTCTTGGTGCTGTTGCCTTGAACTTGCAATCAACTTTCACTTCCACTCCTATGTGTTTTTTTTTTTAATGTAACAACCCGAGACCCCAAAACAGAAATCAAGTCAATTTAAGGTTCGGATTTTACAAACAAGTAGTTAGTACCTTGTTCGGTATCATTGTCAGTTTTTATTTTTTAAGTCTTGTTGAAAACATAAGGTGCATAATGTACTTAACTTTAGTCGCTCAATTTTGAAAACTGATAGCAAAAAAAACTCGGATTTAATAGTTATAGTTATTTACCTGCTAGAAAGTAGCTGTGCCTAGAAAAGGAGTTATTTGAGCAAATGTCACAGTAAACAGTACCCATGACAGTGATCTGAGAAGTGGGTTTAGCTGCTGGGTGGTGAGACTTGTGACCGCCACGAGACTGATGCGAGAGAGAAATTGCAAGGAACAAAATAAGAAGACATAGAATGCTGCTAGGTTTCTCCATTAGAACTAAAATTATGTGGAAAAATCAGAGGAAAAACATGAAATTTTTTTTTTACATAAAAACTATAGGTTATATAAATGGGAAGAAAACAGAAGGGTGTTAGAAGTACTGTCCCTTATAATGGAGGGGTATATAGAGAGAGAGAAAGCAAGTGGAGAAGGGTCTGAAATTACAGAGGACAACCCAAAAAAATGAGGTTTTTATAGAATTTTATCCTTTTCACTGAAAACAAAGGCATGTGACTCGTGAATGTCTTTTTCAAAGCTCAAAAGTTATGGTAGTCATGGAGTGTTAACCCAATTCATTTATAGGGCCTTCTTTGTGTAACGGTCCTCTCCATGATTGTGTTTATGATTTTGTGACTATACTTACCTATAACCTCTCCCTCCTATTTATTGATATCATGCTTTCTGTCACCGCCTTTCGAGATGCTACTACGCGACTAAGGGCAGAGGGGAATACCCTGTGCCGGGGAAGTCTACTGTGGTGCGTTGGCCTAGGGGTTTTCAGCTGTAGATTGGCTATAGAAATGTCTTTCGGCTCTATATCTGCCCGGGCTTACGTACTCTTTAACCATAGAGAAAAGCAGCAAAGGGGACAAGATGGACCGATCTAAAATGGACCAAATTGAAAATTGGATGAACAGAAATAGCTGTTCGTGAGAAATTTCTTTCAGATCACAATCATAACCAAATCAACAGTAGTTTTCTTTCCATCTTGCTATACATTACAACTATAACATTATATCGGTGACCATCTCCATTGCCAAATAAATTACTCCAGCAGATATAGAACTTAAAAAATCGAAGGACCAGACTCCAGAGTGCACTAGATACATATTCATACACGGGTGTTCGTTCCCCAAAATTAAATAGAGAATACATCAAGGACAGCCTGCATTGCAAGATACATGCTTCCTAGCAAATTTAAGCAGTAGAGCAGAAATCTCCTCAGCATTTAGATTAATAGGGATTTCAAGCATAGTTATAGTTTCTCCTGGGAGATTACGCAGCAACATGCACACAACGCACGAACCTAAAATCTGGCCACAACACAAATTCTCACAATATTGAACATGAACAGATGCTCTTTCTTTCAGACTCGTCAATTTTCTTTTCTGCATGGAAGAAACAGAAACTAGTATCAAAGATGTAAACAAGGAAACACTAAACCCAAACTCCATCACTATTTACTAGCTATCATAAAGGTCACACTCAAAGGAAGTAACAACGGCAATAAATACACATAGCATCACAAAGCCGATAAACACTCAACAAACTGCTCTGCAAGGATAAGAAATTTTTTAAAAGTTTTGGTCCCCTACCCCCAAAAATAGTGCCAAGAATCAAGTCATTTCCTCAACTAAAACGAAATTCCAATAATTTAAGTAACGTATATTGAAGCAATTTAATGAAATGAAGAATTTAGCGGGAAGCTTAATAAACTAGAACTTGTATTAGATTATCAAAATAAACAAGCTAATTACAAGCTAACCACACTTCGAGAAGTGGATTTTCTCCCAATGTGTTATCTTACTAAAATCAGCATCAACTCCCTACAAGTCTGGTCCCCCTTATCATTACGTAAGCTACTCACCCTGACTTACAGCCCAATTTGCCTCTAACAAACTTCCAGCTCCCGCAAAATGTCACCAATAACTATCTCTTAGTTGCTATTCCCCACCACACCCCAAAGGTTCCTTCTAGAACATGTGTTGTAACAGGAGGTCTTGGTAGATGCTCAACAAATCACCAAAAATTTCAGTCAATGCCACAGAAAACATCTCAACAGTTAAAAGAGAGGCTGCACTTTAAGCCCAACCCACTATGTTCACTCACAAAGATATATACAAGAATACGACCATAAAAATAACTAAAGCAGAGTTTTGTCAAGCATAGATGAAAATTTTACTAGCATGGGAGCACAAAAACTTATTACGGAATAAAACTAAAATTTTCCAATTTATACTAATTTTTACAGATTAAAGCTTATGTTTACTAATTTATATAGATTTTTTTTTTCTATTAACATTATTTTTTAAAGATAAAGAGAGAGTAAACATATGAAAGGTTAAAGGAAGCATATGGAGGGCTATCCTTAATACTTGCATCTCCAATTTTCAAATTAAAGGCAATAATGAAAGAAGTGAAACAGAGACCAGAGAAGAAAAACTGCGAGACAGAAAACTTATGGATTCGGAAATCATCATTGAGCATTCCAAAGAGATGGAGTAAAAAAAAAGACCACATTACTCAGACTCTTCATTTCACCTCAAGTACACATTGGACACTCTGACCAATTGAACACTTCGACAATTCATTTAATGCCAAAATCATGGAAAATTTTACAGCAAAATAGTAGAGGACACTTGAAAAATACTTAACATAGAGCTGCAGTCAATTAAATACCATCAGTGACATGTGGGTTCCTTGTGGGAACATGGGAGCCAACCATTCATTATGTTATTCAAGCATCAAATTCACCCTTGCCATTATCTAGACGTGTTTTTATAAAAAAAAAAACGCCTAAATTGACTCAAAAAGGGTTTAGTAAAGCTGTTGAAAACAAAAACGATATAATAGTGCCAAACACACAACCATTCTAAACTAATAATGGATGTTATATCTTATAGTGTGCTGCTAATAAAGCCCTATTCTCAAGAACCAAAATAATGTGTGATATTATATGACCAGTTGGTAACCAACAAACCCCTTTCTCCTTTCCAATGCCACTATCTAGGTACTTAGTGTGGGTTCTATTCACTAGATTTAATACTTACCAAGGATCATCAATAAATTATTTAAATTTGAATCAGCTATCGGTGAAGAAGAGGAGGAAGACGCCATGGACTTTCATTAAAGCTTCTTGGCTTGTATTCTAAGGAATTATTGAAAAAAATCCAGCTCCCAGCTATTCACATCCCAAACACAGTACAAGCCAACTTGAAGCTTAAGCAAAGACAAGCCAAGATTTTCTTCTGGTTCTCAAAACATATTTTCCAAGAAGGTGGGTGAGGCAGCAGCTATATGATTTGGTCTGCAAATCGTGCACCGGTTTGGTTTAAAGAATATATGGGTAGAGAGTGATGCTAAGGGTGCTGTGCAGGCTGTCAAAAGCTCCTCGAAGCGCCATGCTCCTATTTTCTTACTGTACGATGGTTTTAGATGGTTATCTAGCTTGTTTAATTTTACTTATTTTACTCATGTCAAGAGAGCCAGAAACACCATTGTTCGCCTTGATTTGAGGTGGGATACAAACGGTACCTCCGAGTTAATTTGTATGAACTTATTCCCCCAAAGCATTCAAACTTTGGCGGACCTTGACTTGCAAAAAAAATTATTATGCATCCATCAGGCTAAGGGAACAGAACCATAAATGTCCCAGGTGCGAGGCAACATAAATCGAAGACCCAGTCTGTTACTTTAGATAAAACAAGGCTGGATTGGCAGATACCCATCCCAAATCAGTTCAACCCAAACCCAAAAGGCAAATGCATCCGTGATTTCCCTTGTAAACCACTACCCTTATTTACTTTGCTAGTTGGCCGACCAATCCTCTCAAAATCTACCCGACCATCATTGCCTTCATATTATAGTCAACCAAAATAACTTCATCAAAGGGCCGATATACACTCTAAAATGCAAGAGGGAGAGGGGGGGGGGTCCAAGTCAACAGCAAGGCAACAGTCCATGCTGACCCACAACCCTGTCCTAGGCATTACTACAATCTTTCAAACCCCAACAATCAATCAATCAAAGCCTTAATCCCATAAGTGAAGTCGGCTACATGAACCAAAAGTAATTATTCCATATAGTCATCCACAAAAATCTTCCTCCTCCACTTACGATCAAGTACCTCATTCTCATGCAAATCCATATGCTTCAAATCCTTCCAACCAAATCATTTTCGGTCACCCTCTACCTCGTTTAACCTCTCCATGATCTCATTCTTCCACTCTTCGAGTCACGTCTAGATCCACCTCTCTATCCCAATCCACCTCCATGATTACTTTTTTTGTAAAAGCCTTTAGCATTTGTGTCCCTTACACTAAGTTTGGATAGAGAGAAATGGAGGGAAAGGAAGAGAAGAGAAATAGAGGGATGCATCCTCCCTTGTTTGGATATCTAATGTAAGGAGGGAAAAGGAGGAAATTGGAGGGATCCATTTTCCTTCCACTTTTAATAAATCAAATCCCTCGAGAGATTTGGAAGGAAAATGGAAATTCTCCTTCTCCCTCCCCCCACCTCTCTTTCCCTTTCCTCTATTTCCTTCTCCTCCCTTTCCCTTCACTATTGTTATCCAAACATAGTGTTAAAGTCCACCATCTTATCCTTGACTGCCCATGTCTTCCCTTTTTCTTCACCTTATCTTTCAAATATATACTCAAAACCAAAAGTCGGTGCTAAGCTGGAATGATCTTGCAGTTCATGCAACTTTGTCTACCCATGCTCCTTGTGAAAAGGAAGTCTATTTGAGTTGCATTTGCTCTAACTCAGAATCCCTCTTCTTAGACCAAGTATTAGCCAAAATTAAATCATATGATTCGATAAAACCCGTAATAGTCTCACCACCTACATCCCTCCACTCATACCCAAATCCACTTGAATTCAAATGAATTCATTACATTTTAAAATGATTCAATATAAGAAACCATATAGTACAACATTTAACATACTACAATCTTAATGAGCACATCAAGCATTGGAAGGTGGGGCCCGATGGGGCCCTCTTTCCAGCATCAAGGAACAACCCGCCCAAACAGAATTATCCTCAAAGAACCATTGAGTATAAGGCTAAGCAGGGAAAAAAACTGGAAGTTCAAGTGTAGTGAAATTAGTTTCGTGATAATTATAAAATAAATTTTAATTTATGTCAAATGCTTATTAATCATCTAAATATTAACTGAATTTTTTTGAACTCCCAAATTTTTTTTTAACTCCCCCAATCAACTATAAAAGCCAATCCAACTTATAGACCATCACAAACCTAGATAAGTGACTTTGTCCCATAACAAATTAACAAGTGAGAAGACAAAGAGACTTCTTAAGAGACCCTTATATTCCACTCCAGTCGCACAAACCACATGACTGCCATAAAAGTGCTGTGCCATTTAACTTGGAGAAATTGACTTGGAATTTTTCTATTATATTCAAGGGTACTTATAGATCGGCTGGATCTTATTGTATGCAGTGAGAAGAGGGTGTAAAAAGTAAAACAAAGTTAGTTAGAGTATAAAAACTTTGTTTCAATGGACAAGAATAAATGGTAGCTGGGACTTGAAAGGAAGAGGACAAGTTTTCCTACACTAATGTTTTGTTATTTAATTTTTTTGGGGTAATTTGTCATTAGTGTTTTTACCTTTTTCTCTCCTCTATATATAACATCCACTAACGTGTGTTATCCCTTAAAAAAGGCAAACTATAATCTAATGACTTTCAATGGTAATATAAGTTTAATGAGAAGTTTCTAATAATGAAAAAATGAGAATAAAAATGTGCAAATGCAAATTCATTCAGTTAGATATGCTTTTTTTTTAAGAAAGCTACTAAAAACTTGATGCACATCAATAATTGACACGCACGCGTGCACACACACATCATATTCTTCTAAAACATGTCCTTGAGTCCTTGAATTTGAGACTTTCAAACTCAGAACCATACCTGTGTTGGGCACTCACATCCAAGTCCAAGCATCCTAGCTACTCATGTTGAAAAAACGCTAACTAGTAAATTGATTGTTAGCAAATGTAAGAAAGGATAACTAAACGACCACACCCACATACCAGCTCTTCACACCATGTTTTAATCTTTTCAAGTGAATATTCTGCACAAGTTAGAACGTTTTTTGTCCCATCGGTGTCACCAATTCAGTGGCTTGTGAGCTCTATTTTGGTTTATAGACCCAAAAATATCTTTAATGTCAACTTATTTACCAAAACTATAGTTTTATTAGTCTATGACTCTATGTATATGATGCTATATACCCACATCCTATCAACTGTATGCAAAAATACTTATCCTATTTTCTTTAAAAATGGATAGACAAACTTAATCACCTAGTGTGATTACATTTGAAAATAAAACTCATTTGAGAGATACGTAAAATAAGATCAAGGAGAAGAATGTCACAGATCTAAACATGAATATTTATCACCAACATTATTTGTAAAGAGGGTGTGAAATAAGATCAAGAAAACGCTCAATGAAGGAATTATTGAAAAAAGTTGCAAAAGTGATCTAGATGAGCAAGGACTAGACCAGACGAAATCAAGAACAGCCTTAAATATGCTAGAAACAAGAGGAAAGCTTAAGGACCAAATATACAATCTCTAAATCACCACTAAACAAAAAGTTTGTAATACCAGAAGTAGAATATGTACTCAGCATTCTGTTACAGTTAATGAACAAAAAACAAAAGCAGAGATTAAAAAAAGCTGCTGAAGTACTTGAAATTTTGAAAACAGCGACCCATAATCCTATGCAGGCAATACAGAAAAGTAACCAGTGTTAAACTACAATTTCAAGAAAAAATCAACAGCCATATGTTTTTACTATATAAAATACCATAGCACCGCCTAAATTTTAGGGATGAAACTCTTAGTCTTGGCACTCGACAAGTTGGTGATGCAAGCTAGAGCCAAAAGACATTTCTATAGCCAATCTACTTATATATTCCTGGAAACGACGATCAAACTTTTCACAGAGAGAAAGAATGACTCAGATTGCTTCAAAGGGTAGTATTTAACTATTTACTCATTGGAAATTGGAATGGAGGAAAAGTAACTTGTAAATTCAAAGTTAGAGCATCTTTAACAATGAACAAATAAAATTGTTTGTGTTACTATTGAAATAAAATAATGTAAAAAAAATTATGGAATGATGAATAGTGGCGTGAACAAATGTGAATGGTTTGGAAAACCAAACCATTTGTGAAAATTATTTGTCTGACAAAACTTACTTTTATTGATTATTTTAATGATAAATATTGTATTTTAATTTTTAGGAAAAGATAAATTGAAAATGGGGTAGGTGAATAGTAACATGAACAATATTGTTTTTTGGTTCATTGTTAAGAGGAGAATGTTGGAAATTATTTGTTTGATTTATGTAAATGAGAGAGAAAGTATTTTTTTTGTGAATAGTAATATGAATATTTTATTTTTTTTTGTTCATGAATAAGGATGCTCTTAGGAGATTTAAAAAATAAAACTCTAGTAATCTAGATTTATAATATAATTGCATCTTTGCAATTTCATAAAAGGTATTCTGAGTTTCTGACTATTTTTTTATTTATTACTCCCTCTATCCCTACAAGATTGACTCGTTAGCCTTCTCTACTCTTTAAAGTGTTGTATAGAGTGGGTATCAGCTTGGTCTTTTTACAAGCGAGGTATCTAAAGAAGAAATGGGACAATCTTTTAGAGACAGCCCAAAAGGAAAATGGAGAAATTTTTCAATGACAAAGGGAGTATGTAATTATAATGCTACGTCATCAAATAATCAAAATACAGTGACAGAACTTCAATCAATAATAAATGTTGAGATATCAAACCTTCTTTTCCTAATTACTATACAACATTAATTTGGAAATTAGCAATTACTTTGAAAAGCCTTAGGAGACCTACCACTCTACCAGTTAAGAGGTTCTCCAACAAGTATAGTCTAGAATCTAGTGACTACTGGACAAGACAGGTGAAATAGAACAATTCAGCAGCCACCAACAACAGCTGAGGAGAAAATGTCGCTTACAAAAAAACAGCAATCAAATCAAGAAACCTAGAGTCTTAGATACAGAAACTGCATTATTGGAACATCTATATTGTGAAAGGATTTTTTTTTTTATTTAAAAATGCTCAAAAGAAATACCTGACTTCGTTTTTGCTACAGTTGGCTGAACAACAACATGCATTGTTATAACTCCCTTTTGAAGCTCACCAAAGGTCATTCGGCATTGGCCAGCAGTCCTGCTGTTCTCCAAAACCTTGCCAGCACTTATGATCTTGACATCATTTGCAACCTTCGGTGTGACCTTATTATCTAGAATAAGCCAAAAATAGAAATTCTAAATTATAGGCGTAATAAACATGCAAGATCAATAATTTGTTAAAAAAAAATAGCTGCAAACAAAGCCTTAGTAAAACCAACTGAAACATCTTCGCGTGTTATTAAATTACAGTAGCTTGCCCATCAAAAGCATTCCAAAACACTACAGAATTGTTAAAAACAGAAAGGCTTCCATGATCATAGCAATTTCATGACCAAATCACATTATCACTAACATTCATGAATTTACTTAATAATCTTCAGCAATTCACCACAAATCTTCCTTGATTTCACGAAGATAATACCTCCACCTCTTTTTAAAAACTTAACCAGATGCAGTCACACTTCAAAAATCCCTCACTCATTAAATGCTTCGACTTATAAGATTTGGCCCAAAAATAGGGTCCATTATTTAGGTTAATTTCTCTCTCCATTCAATTATTACACTAGAATTTTTCTCCGAGCTCTCTTTTTTACTTGGTTCTATTTGGATGGGAGGTTGAAGTAGTTGTTGAATGTTTCAACTTTTAAGATTTGGCCCAAAAATAGGGTCCATTATTTAGGTAAATTTCTCTCTCCATTCAATTATTACACTAGAATTTTTTTTTTCCAAGCTCTCTTTTTTACTTGGTTCTAATTGGATGAGAGGTTTAAGTAGTTATGGCTTTCATCGGGAATCCACTCAGAGGAAGACACAAATCTTCACTTTCCTACTATATGCACGCTAATAAACTCATCAAGTATTTAGCAACAAATGAAGCTATCTAACACATCAAGTATATAGTTATTATAAAAAAACGGAGGGAGTAATTAAGCATGATAAATTTCGTAGATAGATACTTACAGAGGGAAGCAAATTAACACAAAATCAACAGAGCACTATATCCGTTCACTTGATTCAGTAGACCGGGTCAATGTGATTATCAAACATTTTAGCTTGCTTTGTGACCAAAATCAGGTTCTCACCCTTAACAATTTGTAAATTGCCTGTTTCATGATTCAAAAGCTAGAAGTCTAGAACCATCTTCATCAAATGGTTTGCCCTCAATAAGAAACCAGCAGTAATTTACACTAGCTAACTCATGACGCCAGTAGATATCCCAACCCCCTACCCCACCCCTTCCCACAAACTGTAACATTCATGATCATTCGAAGTCACACGTCTCTCTCTCTCTCTCTCTCTCTCTCTCATCTTATCCTCCTCGGCCAATAGAGCAAGGCAAGATATATGCCTACCCAAACCATCAAACTAGCTATCCTATATACCCAAGACCATCCAAATATCCAACTAGGTTTATTATACAAGGGTCATAGCTTACAACTGAACAATTTGTTCAATGAGATTTCCCTATACTTCTTAACAAGCAATTTTAAATTTACTATGCCGATACAATTGAGACAGCAATATTCCAACGAAACAACAATACACGACGAATACAGCCACGAATTAATACATGGAATTTACAATAATCAGCATCTTAAATAATCACCTTTCTTAGACAGCCTCTTCATCAACAAGGTCTCAGCTAAATTTGGCAACAACCAACAAAACCACACAAATAACCGACAATAACATCCTCAAATATTCTACCACCTCTAATTTCTTCTCACAATATGCTTACAAATTCATAAACATACAAAAATAAATATTCTAATTATCCTAAATTTCTAACACCTCAAATAAATTTGAGAACATGCTTACAAATTCATAAACATACAAAGTAAAATTCCAAATATATATACAAACAAATTAAATAAAATTTGATTTTAGGGGATAAAAGAACAAACCTTTAGGCCAGTCAGCAATAATTCTTTCCTTGAGATTGGCCACAGTTGTCGCCGGCGCAACCCGAAACGGCCCGATATCTGACCCGTCATATAATCGGAATTTCACTTCAACTAAATCTTCCTCCGGCATCGGAAAACCCTCAAAACCAACCTTTTTTTATCAAAAATTAACCCAAAAAATAAATAAAAATCAAAACTTTCTTGCACCAACCCAGAAACAGAAATCAAACACAGCCTTATAAAATTTTTTTTGAATATTTAAATATTAAAAAATGAAGAAAAAAAACTACTTAGCAAACTTATGAAATGGGGTTCGTTCGTTTACAACAAATAGATTCGTAAAAATGGAGTAAGTAAACAAATAATTAAATTAAATAATGGGGAATCTTCACATATAATTAGGTTCCACCAAGTTGAAGAATAACTCTGAGAAAAATTATTTTTAAAAAAAATGGAATTTTTAAAAAGTTTGAAGAGAGAGAAAATGGAGAAGAAAGGGATTTTAGTATTGAAAAGATATGAAGTAATATAAAACAGTGTTAAAAATAATAATTGTGATAATAATTGAAGAAAAAGGGAAAGGTGGAAATGGAATTAGAGAATATGAGAAGATTTAAGAAAGGAAAAGGAAGGAAGAAGGGTGAAAGTGTTGCAAGATCTGATATGGGGTGGAAATTTGGAGTGATTAATGATGGTTTCATGACCACCGATATATTATTGTACGGAGCTATACAACTTTGACCGCCTCCAATTTTTACACTTCTGAACGCGATTATATCAAATTTAGTTTACGGAGTACTTCTTTCGCCCTTCTGTTTATGCTACTCAGTACTTTTTCTTTTTCATAATAATCTTTCTATTTAAAAAAAATTACTTTTCAAATTGAGAGAGATCTTCTAAATTACTCTCCATGTATAAGAATTAAGAACAAATACAGTCAAACAGAGAGAGTATTTTTAATTTATACAAAAATAATCGAAATATTCTTAATTAATTATAAATACAATACAAATTAAGTTTTTTCCTCCTCCGCAATCATGTGAGATATTGTTAATATAAGTTTATCTCTTGAAAACAGATGATGAGCTCTAACCACTTGAACATTGAGCGAATCCATCATCTGATAAATTTTAATTTTATGGACAATTAGTAATAAGGGCCTGATCTCATTAACTAAACTCAGCTGAACTGAACTAAACTAAACTGAAATGAATATTTTATAAGAGAAGGAAATTAGGAGCTGAACTGAATTGAACTGAGCTGAATTGAACTGAATTGAATTTCAACGTACGAGAACAGACCCTAAGTTTTTGCGTTTTTGCAATGAAGAACAATTCCTTGTAAATTGTAATACAAAGATCATAGAAGATAGGTTTCATTTGAGTTTTTTTTTTAATTATTTGTAAATCAGCAAAGTCTCATTTTTTTCATCTCTTTGTTTTGTTGGCCCCCATTTATTTAAGCCTTGAGACTTGAGTTGAGACTTTTGACCCAAATTATAAACTTTTGAAGAGAGTGTTTAAAAGAAGGTGTTGGGGGGAAGCAAAATAAGAAGTTTTAATTGACAAAAAATAAAGAGGTTTCTTCTACTTCTTTTGTTACTACTACTATATTTGAGAAATTTTGTGCTAATGATAGATTTTTATCTTTAGTGCCACTCGCCCAATACTTTGTGTTTGTTACTTTGTGTCTGTACAATGCACACATATATAAAATCGACAATATAGTTCTACACTCAAAGATTTAGAACTTTAATTGAGCTAAATAATCAAATAAAACTCGTAATGGACATAAATAAATTAAAAAAAAAATTACGTATAACCTCTCATAGATAGTTATAACTAAATAAATGTCAATAAGCTTATCTAACTAAATTCAAAATCGAATCATTTCATGTATGTTTACATCATTTGTCTTTTGTGACTCTCTCCACAACAAAAATAACTAAATTTCCACGACTAACTCGATTTTCTGTCATATACATACATAGCTTGTATTCATCATTGTTCACATCACCCGAGCCAATAATCAGTTAGTTTGAACATATAGGGACTAACCTTACTACTCCGTAATACAATCTTTATTTTTGTTGTTGTACTTAGAAGTGTTATTGCAGGGCCCTTCCAAGGAAAAAGCCATTGCTCGAAAGCAACAGCTGCCCACATGACAAACAAATTATAGTTTGTACTATTCATCATTCCACTCCATTTGGCACTTATCAATCTTATCATTTTACGATGTTTGTGTTTACCATTTCATTTTGCATTAACTCTCATTATAATTCAACTTCAATTCTAATAAGATATACTTGAAGAGTTGGAGATAGAAACAAAAACTACGTACATACTATGGAAAAAGCATATAAATTTTGACAGTATTGTTCATAAATTAGTAATTGGCCGAATTAGTTAAGTTTAATTTGTTTGAAATATGCATTTATTAGGATACTATGGAAAAATCATATAAATTTTGACAGTATTGTTCATTAATTAGTAATTGGCCGAATTAGTTAAGTTTAATTTGTTTTTTATAGCAAAAATTAAAGAATGTAATTATGTAAGTAACTGCATGCTAGTCTAAACAGAATTATAGGAGTAACAAACAACATAATTGTGTACATCTCATGCATAAAAAATGGAATGATATACTTGATCAAGAAAAAATATAATAGAACGATTTTTATCATTAGAACACAACAACTTTCATTGGATTTGATCATATAATGATATAACAGAGGAGGGAGCAAGTTACATAAATTTTCTCTGTGCTCTCCTAAAGAACAACATAATACATACCTCCTAAAAAACCGAAAGGTAGTAAACACATGAAAGATTGAGACTGACTCCTTAAAACGAACTTAATAAGTGAACAGGATTCTCTCCAATAACTAGACGGTCCAATTACTTAGCGAGCTAGAGAATGAGATGATATCTTTTTTTGAAAAAAAAAATCCGGTAATCGGAGAAAATTCTTTAATTTGCGCTATAAAAAAGACGATACTACGACACATCGAACCCCAAAAAATAAAAGGGGAACTCCACTTCCTCCGCAAATCAAAAATATAATTTTTTTTTTTTTTAAAAAAAAAAAAGTGCGTGGTATTGCTAATTAATATAGTTAAAGTCTCTTCCACTCTAGAAAAAAAAAATGTAAAGAAGAAGAGTCTAGAGGTTTAATTTAATTAACGAGATTCATGTAGTACTAATAATAACCATACTAACTAACAAAACTAACTCAAAAAAAAAAAAAAAAAAAAAAAAAAAAAAGGGTTACGATCAAAGCCAAAGAGCACCGGCTTGTTTGAGGAGGGGGACGAGGGAGCCATTAATGTGGGAGGCCATGACGCGGTCCATGGCCCCCACAAGCTGACCCCCAACGAAGACTATGGGTATCGGGTTAGGTGTAGAGAAGAGTAGCATAAGAGCCTTCTCCATGTCTTGACCCCAAGGGTCCAAGTCTAGGTCATGAACCGTTGGATTAACTCCCATACCACAGAACAACCGTTGGATGGCATGACACATGCAACAGCTGCTCTTGCTGAATATTACCACCGCATTTTCTGATGCCACCCTCTCTATTCTCTCTACTATTTTTTGGTACTGCATTTTTTTTTTAAGTATGACAATAATTGTATGAAATAAATTATATTAAATGGAAATATAAATTTGGAGTAAAAGTATTGATTACTGATGATGATTTGATGAAATGAGATGAGATGAGAGTGATAGTTGAATGATTCGATGTGAAGGTTTGGGAAGGTATTTATAGGAGTTTACAAGGGAGGGTTAGTTGTTAGTTGCACTATTGTTACTTTGTTAGTTACTCCAATTAGTTAATTTAGTTTATTAGGTGGTTTTTAATTAATTTAATTTGTTGGGGATTAAATATGCACGATTTCAGTGGAAACTTCACTGTATAATAATACGAAGTAGAATAATAACAGATAATACAATTAAGACTATTTTATTTATCAATGCTCGTAAATTACAAACATATATGTACTCGTATATATATGAACAAATAGTCAAATACCCCCTCCGTTTAGATGTTTTATTTTGACTTTTTACACTATACACTTAAGTCATTTTGACTAACGTCAATGAGTTAATAAATTAAAAATAAGAAAAATTATTGTCATGTGGATTTTTATCAGTATCGTCTTAATCTACGGAGTATAATTTTCAAATATTGACATTTTATAAATTATATTTTTCATAATTAAAGATGTTAGTCAAAGTTTTACATTGACATACGTGTTTAGTTTGATTGTGGTATTTATTTTGAAACATAGGGAGTAATTCTATGTTTATTAGATTCTTCCTTGCATCTCTTTGGAATTTGTACAATTCACATCCTAATTATTACCCTTTTTTTTTTTTTACACAGGCTTGGTTTGGTAAAGAGGTTTTCGAAAACCTTTTAACTTATTGAGCACTATTAATTAGAGGATTCACCATAATAAAAAGCTAATTAGATGTTTGGTAAAAAGCTTATTAAAAGAACTTTTTCAAATTAGCTTATTAAACAATTAGCTTTTTGGATATTAGATACATTGAAACAGCTAAAAATAAACAGTTATTTACCAAATATTTTTACACAATAAAGTTAATTACAATTTGCTAGTCAAAATCATCTAGTATAACCCTTTAGTCAAACTAGTTAATACAATTAGTTATATCAACCAGCTAAATTATACGAAGTAATTATCAAAAAGGGCCATAGTGTACATGTATACATATAAACCAATTGTTATCACATAGACCTTTGTTAGATTAATTAGTTGCAATATATATTTTCATAATATCAAATTTTTTTTTGAAAGACATAATATCGAATATTTATAATCTAAATTATTACTTTGTACAAAATTAACAATGATATTTATAGCTTAAGGGTCTGTTCAGTTCAGCTCCAATCAGTTTATTTCAGTTTCTAATTTTCTTCTCTCATAAACAATTCATTTCAGTTTTTAATTTTCTTCTCTTATAAACAATTCATTTCAATAATTGAACGTGTCAACTAAATAGAAACGGAGGAAGTATATGTCAATCTTATCGGAGGGAGTGTATTACACTGTACATGGAAACATAAAGGATGGTACGTGATCCTTTAAAAATTGTCGAGTAAAAGCAAGGAAGGGGTCCCAATATGCGAAGGTAGTCAGCGCATGCGAGAAGAGAGAGAGGAAATGCATGGGTACAGAAACAGTAAAGCCATTAACCCACGTTGCCTTTTAAGGTTCATAAGCTTTGCTTTACTGTCCCACGTAAAACCACTCCCTCTTCCATTCTTAGTTATGTACTTATGTTACCATTTTTACCACTTTTATTAATTAATTAACTACGAGTACGAGTTATCGTTAATTATACACTACAATTCTTTTTTCTTTTTCTTTTTTTTTAATTAAAATAAAATGTGTACGTATTACCAAGAGTGTTGAGTGTTTTATGTATCTTTAGGTCCATTATTCATGCCTTTCATGGTAATAAAAGTATTGACCTGAATATGACTCAAGCGGAATGTGATGGTAGCAATGTAGCATAATCTAAGGCTATCATATTACTGGATAGTTACCTTTAGGCTTGTGGTTCGTTGTTGTTAATCTTGTTATATGGGTCAAATTCAACGGAGAGGGCCGGGTTAAAAATAAGATGAAAATTTTGGATTTTCATATAATTTGTGTTTGAATTGCACAAGGACCCCCTATTATT